TGGTGACTGAAAGATGGTAAGAAATGATAAAAGTTAATATTATTAGTACTATACTGATACTTATTAAGGATTTCCATTTGCTGGCATGGGGCTAAATGCTAAGCATCATGAGTGGTCGGTACCTTTACTTTTCCATTTTGCGGAGAAGAGAGAATGTCAAGGCTTACTTAGAGTGGTTGAGTAACCTGACCATTGTCCCACAAGCTTTAACGGTGGGGGCCAGGCTTGGATCTAGATCTGACGCCAAAGCCCCAGTCCTGACCGCTGAGTGCAGCTGTCTCTTACTGTGAGATGAGGCTGTAGCAGCAGCTCGAAGGGCGAAAATTAGGCAGAGGTAAAACGACTGTGGGAAATCCTGTAAGGAGGCACGATTTTGGAGAACAACATACCACTCACTTCCAGGAAGCCAGACACAGCCAGGTGCTACACCTCTAGCGCTGGATCAGACTGTGGCCACTTTGGACAAACAATGCATGAAAGAGCTGGTTTGCAGTTGGGGACAAAGTGTGTGTAAAATACACACCTTTAAACACGGGACACATACAGCATGGGGTCAGATGCTTCCCTATAAGAAGCACTCAGGAACAGCAGCTGAGTGAAGGGGTAGAATCAAGCCTCCCTTGGGCTGGCCTGGTGCCTTAGTGGTTACGATCAGTGTGCTCAGCTTTGGCAGCCTGGCGTTGGTGGTTTCCGCTCATCAAGCCATGCTATGGTGGCGACCCACATACAAAACAGAGAAAGCCTGGCAAAGATGTTAGCTCAGGGTGAATCTTCCTCAGCAAGCAAAAAAAAAAAAAAAAAAGCCTCCCACCAGAATCTTCCTGCAGCACTTCAAAAGTTCATTCTCTCCCTTCCTGCTTCTCTCTGTCTTCTGTGTGTGTATCTAGTTGACTTTGCATATACCGTTTCATGGGACACAATCTTGCCAAAAGCCAAGCAGCTTTGCTGGTCCAGAGAGGATTATTTAACTCTCTACAATATTGAAAATCTTGTTGTAAATATTTATTACTTGTAGCATAACCACAGCCAAAGCTAGTAGAATCAGGCAGCCGATCGCATCGACCGTGGGAATACATACTTCAAATATCTCCAGAATGAGTCAACAAAAGGGATGGCTTCAACTGTGTAATATAAAAACACGCCATTTGAGATGCATAAAGAGAAAGAAAATGCTCACTTTAATTCAGTCTTCTGTCTTTGGGGGTCCCACCTGAGAGTCTTTGTCATTTTAGTGCTTTTGGTGACTGGGGGCTGGAAGGGTGTCATGGAAGTAGAAATCCTTTTCCAGAATCTGAGAGAAAATATTAGGTGTCTCCTTAGCCCCCCAGCGTTGACTTTGTGTCCCTCATGTTGTTGAGAATAGTTCTCAACTCTCTTCCCCCAGCACACTGGGGCATGGGGCACGCCTCCATCAGTATAAAACAGTCCTCAGCAGGGGTGAGAGTGACCGCATTCTACTTCCCAGGATAGGAAAGCGGAGTTTCGGGAGTTTGGATTGAGTGTAGTTTGAAAAACTTTCTTCTGGAGAGTCTGCAACATCCTTCTAAGAGGTAATTCTTTACTCTCCGATTGATCATTACTGGTTTAGAAGAATGACACTCGATAAATGTTTGTGAATCTAAGCACTAACTTAGGGCTTCTCGCCCTGACTGGGGGCTTTAGAGTAGCATCTAGTCCTAATGTGCCCGTTCTCCTCTTCGAAGTTGTTGGCCTCCACCCAAGATGTTCCTTGGCATATGCGGAGTGGGGGCTGTCCCAAAGCTTTGTGTAGTGGCTCAGGGGATTTTAGTAAAGAGCAGAGAATAGTATGCGGGAGAGATCACAGCTTGAATGTCTGTCGTGCTCACAGACTCCCATTGAGAGAGGCTGCCCCAACCGCAACCCCCAAAGAAGTGAGCAACACGGTCTGTTTCTTTAGCGGAGGTGACCATGTGGTGTAGCATGAGCCTTTCATCCAGCCACAGCTGAAGGAGTAGGAGAGGACGCCTGGCTCAGAGGCAGCCAACCTATAGGCTGCTCAGTGGCTTATGAGACAGCCTCATACAGGAACTTTCCCCAAGAGGGACAATGGTAATAGAATCATTCTCTCCTCCGGGGCATTTGATCGTGGGCTATGAAGAGAAAACTGGCAGCTGGGAGTGGGAGCAGAAGTGGAAAGAGCTGCAGTTGTGCAACCTGGATTCTTGCCGGGTTCTGAAGACACTTTATGAGGAGCTGGGGCTGGGTCTCACGGCCCGAGAGCCAGTGGTGTGCATCTCTCCCCGCTCTGCCTTCAGAGACTCTGGCTGCTGGGAGCACTGACACCACATAAATTGCTTTTTGCTACAATCCAGGTCTCCCTCCTCCAGGCATGCTTGTTCAGCGTTCACTGGCACACCGCTGGGTTAGGGGAGGGATGGTATATGGGAAGTGGGGGAAGCAGTGACCTCCGCTGGGTCCTTTGTCTGAAGAACAATCAAACAATATGATTGTTATTAAGATTATAATAAAAGGACATTGGAGAAAACCTTGTGAAATATATGGTTTAAATATCAGTGGTTAGACTACAAGACTCAGAGGAATGTGGTCAGAGGGTAGTCCCGTTCCTGTTCCTGGCGCCTCTCAGAGGCTCGGGCCCCCACCCCCAGGCCTACAAGGAGGACCTGACAAGCCGGTTAAGTCTCTGGTCCTATTTCCACAGGTATTCTTTACCCCTGTTACTTGAGGTAACCTGAGTGCACACAGTTACTTAAAACCACAAGAGCTCAATGAATACAGTTTTTGAAGGCCGTTCTCTCTTTCAATGTAGAGAAAATGGGACAGATTAGCACAGTAAAAAGAATATATATGGAGGTTGGAATGAGGTTTGAATTCCAACCCTACTTCACCCTTCCTGGTAGCCTAATTTACTATCTATGCCTCAGTCTCCTTAGCTGTAAAAGAGGGATACAAATGAATCATCTCAGACGTATTTGTAAGGATTAAATGAAATACCACGTCTAGAACATCCAGCACGGTGTCTGGCACTCACTCTGTGCTCAGTGGCTTTAGTTCTTTTCTCCCCTCTGACATACTTATTCAAGCCTTTAGAACAGCTGCTGGTGTTGCTGACTATCAAGTCAGCAGAGTTGATACAATTAATTAACGTTCCACTTATAGCAACATGAATTAGGTTGTAATGATATTGCATTCTTCATAATTTTACATTTTTGTACTTAAAGTCAACTAAAATCTTTTAAATAGAGCTATCATTATTACAATCCTCTGAAACAAGCTTTTCTCTACACTTACAGGGCGCCTATATATCGGTCTACAAATGCCGGTGCTCATTTTACTTTTGTTTTTAAACAAATATTTAGACTATGGGCAAAGAACTACGCCACGTGTTGTGGGGGAAGTAAGGAAAACAGATGCTTATGTAATACACGCTGAAATACACAACAAAGAGGACCGGAGGGAAGAGATTCCTGAGCATTCTCTTTCACCCACACAGCTTCTAGGTACCTAAGCTGAATAATAACGCTGCGTGTCTTTTGAATCCTTTATTTACTGTATTAGTTTATTCACCATGGGTTTACTTAGGTTGTGTGCCCTTAGTCCCATAATCACTGCTGGTACGTGAAGGGTGCAGTCTGCCCCTCTGCCAGGAGTAAACCACGGGCTGTGGTGTTGCTCAGTACCAGATGATTCAAGCAGCGCCACTTGCAAATGGACTGGTTTTAGGCATATGGGCCTTAATACTTTGCCAGAATTGAATTTGTTTTGAAATAAAGTTTCCGATTTTCAAATACAGCATTTTCAAACAAATACTGTGATGCACAGATTACCATACTTTAGTTCATGTTAGAATAATTCATGCTTTAAATCTGTTTGACAGTTACCCCTTAAGTATTTTGCATTAATAAATCATTTCTGTAGCATCTTAAAATGTTCATAAGTAATTACATAACATCCTACGTCTCCAGGGCCTGTCCCATTAGTGAGTAAAAAGAAAATAATAAATTGCAGTAATTAAGACATAATTATGTTGTCTTGAAAAGCTAAGGGTCATTTGGATCTGATTACTCGAGTCGTTAGCAGTGCCAAACAAAAGTCAGGGAACTACGGCTTAGGTCTGTAAGTAGACATCTGGGACTCACATTTTGGTCGTCAGAGGCAGCACCTTTTGAATAAACTTCAACACCGCCCTTTGGACAGGCTACAATATATACAAGACCAGTGTAAGGGAGATGAGAGGTTGGAGGTGTCTAAACATCAGCATTTCGATAGGGTGAAAAACTCCTGTCGCGCAGCCTGCCTCAGGTCCATATATGGTGTTCAAATATAGGTTTGAGAAGAGCCTCTGTAATTTTGGCTAAGAACCCCCACCCACACCTGGTGTAGAGGGCCCACTCCCCTGGAACGCAGGAGGGTGGGTGTAGGTATTCTAATACCTGTCCGTGGTGTACAGGACAGCTCACCTGAGCGTGCACGTAACGGCAGCGCCGCTCCAGCCTCGCCCTCCCACACTTGGAGAAGTATTGGCCCGATCTTTTTATTCCCTCACTACCAAAGCTCTCAACTGATTCGGGCGGGGCAGCGCGAGAGTCTCCTCCAAACCCTTAAACGTCTTCCCACGGGTCCTGGCTCGCCGTCCGGTCTCCTCGCGGTGGTTTCTCTCTTTCCTACCCCTTCGGGGGTCTCAGGTGGGACCCGTGGGTGGGATGCTCGGCTCTGCTCTGGGGGCCCGACACTGGAGCGACGCCCCGCGGCAGAGGGACCGCAGCTCCGGGCGGCGCGCGGCGGCGGCGGCCCTGGGGCGGCTGCGGAGGAGGCTGCGGAGGAGGGTGCGGAGGAGGGGGAGCTGGCGGCCCCGACCCGGGCAGCCGGCCCCGTCCGCGGCGGGCGCTGCGCGGTCCTCCCTCGCTCGGCTCCTTTGCTCATATTTGGACTCGGCTGCCCGTGCCCAGGAATTTCCCGTCATGCCTCCCGCCGCCCCGTCCGTCGCCCGAGCCGGGAGGGAGGGAGGAGCGGCTCGGACAGCGGCGGCGCCCCGGCCCTCCATGAGCCCGCGGCGGAGCCCCCCGCGCCCCCTCTCGCTCGGCCTCGGCCTCGGCCTCTGCCTCTGCCTGGCCGCGGCGCGGGGAGCCGCGCACCCGGGTAAGTTTGGGCGCCCGCCCGCCCGCCCTGCCAGGTCGAGGGTGACCGCGACCCCGATGCCCCGCGCGCCGCTGCGCCCCCTCCAGCCTGCTGCGGGGACACCCCTTTCCGGGCCCAGGAGGGGCGCGCAGCGGTCGCTGGCTTCGCCCCCGCCGACGGAAGCGCCTGGCCGCCGGGCTGACACCTTATCCCGCCCCGGAGGAACCTGAGCCCCGGGAGGCATCGCGGGCCCCGAGGGAGGGGCCTGGCGGGGCGGGC